TAAGTGCAGTGTAAATGCATGTACAAGTGCTGGAAAAAAAGTGTATAAAACCCTGCATGTTTAATTAGGCTTATACTTGGCCTTTTTTTTCAATCATTTTTTTTCAATCCATGTTTTTTTAGTCAATGTAAATTTATATATATATATTGGGACAAATCGTCCCTTAATCGCCACCCTTTGCCAGGCTCCCGCCAGGATCCAGTAGCCCCTCACTGCAGAACAAAGACCCAGGGGGCGTGGTTGGATCCACATCTAGGGGGTGGAGATGGGTGGGTTTAGGGATCAGGGGGTTGAGACGGGTAGGTTTAGGTGTATGCAAGGTGGGAGGAGTTGGATCTGGATCCAACCTCGCCCCCTGGATCTTGTGTTCTGCAGTGAGGACCATCTCGTTTTTCCCCCCTGAAGTGAAAAAAAAGTGAAGTGACGTGTGGCCAAGTATGGTGACCCATACTCGGAATTAGTGCTCTGCATTTACCCATCCAAAGTGCACACACACACCCGGAGCAGTGGGCAGCCATTTATGCTGCAGCGCCCGGGGAGCAGTTGGGGTTTGGTGCATTGCTCAAGGGCACCTCAGTCGTGGTATTGCAGGTGGGAGAGAGTGCTGTACATTCACTCCCCCCACCTACAATCCCTGCCGGTACGAGACTCGAACCCACAATCTTTGGGTTATGAGTCCGACTCTCTAACCATTAGGCCACGACTTCCCACAGTTGTTACAGGTATGATTTTCTTTCTTCTGTAAAACATAAAAGAGGATATTTTCAGAAATGTGTTTTTTTTTTTGGTCAATGTCAGTCAATGGTCACCAAAACTGCTTGGTTACCAACATTCTTCACCTGACCAATTAATACTAGCACTTACTTATTCTATTCTATTCATTTTGGTCTAATTAATTTAATTTAATTTATTTATTAATATAAAAAAAAAACTTTGAATGTGTACTGTGCTAGTCCAACTGAGACTTGTCAAAGCACTGTTGCTGATTGCTTCTTTTGTTCTCCTCATTTGTACATTTGGATAAAAGCGTCTGCTAAACGACCATGTAAATGTCTTCAAAATATCTTCTTTTGTATTCCACAGAAGGACGAATGTCACAATTACCATTTTATTATTTTATATTCTATTGCTAAAGCACCCCCCCCTCCAATAATTCGGGGGGTTAATAATTGTGAGATATAAACTTTAAATTTTGACTTTTTTCTCAGAATTTATATACTACAATTCAGAGTTTATATCTCACAGTTTGGTCTTTTTGTCTGAATTGTGAGATATGTTCCTTGAAAAAAGTAGATTAAGAGATCAGATCGATAGAAAATAGATAAAGAAAGAGATAAGAAGTCGCAATTTCTCATTTTTATTTTTGCATGGCAAAAACGGGCTTCCATACTGAGTGTGAGTATATGATGATGGAATTTTCATTTTTGGGTAAACTACACTTTTAAGGCTGCATGGTGAATGCCTATTGTTTTTCAGCTCTAAGTATTGTCATTGTTACCCACTGGACTGCCCATTAATGCCATTACCAGGCTCCGGATCAAGAAATCCCATAGGAATTCACTTAAGATTGCTAAGCTCAAACAACTCCCATTTTTCCCATTAAACTCTTACATTTTAAGAGCAAATATGCTTTTAAATGTATGCAATAACCTCATACCTGTGACTTTTAAACATACACATTTACCCTCCTGCAGCGTGTTGTAGGTGTTACTGCTAAACAGAAAGGGCTAGTTTCTGTGACATTTCCTCAATCTTTGTTCTACGTTCATCCTCCTCTTATCCTGTTTTCTCTCTTGTTGTACCAGGAAGAGAACAAAAATTCACGTGTTTGTCCCTGCGGCTGTGAGGTGGTGGAGGGATTTTGCTGCGGATGGTTTATTTTTAGTTGCTTTTTTTAATCTGTCAACATGTGCACATCGATCGCTCCACACCACCTTCACATGAATGAGCCTGTGACGTAAAAGAGCAAACTATCTGCCGCTCACTGGGACGAGAAACTCAGAGATCTGTTTCCCGCTTTGCCTGGAATTCCAGTCTGCTCTGATGCACTGCTTCACTCTTGACCAGTCTGAAGTCTAAGGGCAACAACTGTGTTTATGTGTGTAAACGTAGAGTGAATGTTTGTGTATGTGCAGGCGTGCATAAGCGTATGTGTTTATGTTTAAGGCATGGCTCTGTAGTGACCTGTGGACTAGAATGAGGCACGCAAGCCAGATGCATCCATGGCAAACTGGTGAGTGTGTAGAGCACAGTAAACAACCAATATGGACTGTGTGCATAATAGAGAGAGAAAGAGAGAGAGTGCATTTATGAGACCACCACGGTAAGACGTGATCTAAGCGATATGTAGGGTAATTGCGCACTGGAGAACACAACAGCGAACCACTTGAAATGAATTGTTAAGATGAACCGCCCACGAACAAAAAGCCGTCGTTCCACCTCCTGAAACGGTAATAACAACGAAATGTCAAAAGCATTACCAATGTAAAAACTCATTCGAGAGCACTGCAGCATTTGAATGAATAGAATATAAGCACAATGCAGGTGGGTGTGGGGTCAAGATGTCAAACCCTAGCGGGATGCAAAACCTACGCGAAAATTCTCTACTCTCCATCCAGAAAGCTTTGGTTGAGTACAGACTAAAGGGTTACTCAGTTTGATAGGAATCGCCCATGTTCGGAAAGCTTTACTAATAAGTCGCATTGTGATCATTTTAAGGTGCTGTAAGCATTTTTTTTAAATACTGCACATAAAATGTTTCTGTATTATTGAAATAAGTGTGAAGTGTGAATAGAAATGAAGTGTCTTTACGACAACCCATAGGCTCTGTCACTTTCCGTGAATATTTTTTTTTACTATTATTATATTTTTTTAAGTATTGTTATCTGTTTCAACAAATGCTAAATGAAAAGAGGTGTGTAACCTTCAGAAAATGTTGATTGTCACCATCAGGCGGTCAAACTAAATGAAGAGCTGTTTTTTCAATCCATTTTCTTTGGTGTTTGCAGTTAAGATTTTGATCCAAAGAAGTTTAACCCCTTAAGTGTCACTCAAATTTTTGAATATAGACGTGAAAGTGCACTACCCAAACTTACATTTTTATAATTCATGAATGAAAATATTTTGTAACATGATTTTGATGTACCATTTTCATGGTAATGCAACGTCTGATTTGAAAATGGTTTTCAAAGGATGAATTTTAAGTTTTCAATTGATGTATCATTTCTGATGATTTCTAAAGTGAGATTTAGAAATTTGACTTTTTGTGACAAAGGTCAGAACTCCTGTTATGATGTAGATTTTTGAGGTGCACTCTTGTCATAAATTAACCTATTACTTTTCCTACATCATTTTTCACAAAAAACGGTGGTAAAATATCTATTTAGGAGTCTTAGACCTTTCCAACGATACAGTTTATCATGATTATATTAGGATTTAATTGTAATATAGTGAAGTAACCTTAGGCGTCCCACAGAGGGGACGGGTGACAGTTAAGAGGTTTACCTTGATGTCTCATTTTGCTTAGGCCTACACACACATATATATTTCAATTTTTTTAATTTTACATTTAAAACTATATGTATACATACATACGTACGCACACACACACACGTATATATGCATACATATATATATATATATATACACACACATACACATTTTATATAATTTTCACAAATTAACATATTTTTGATGAAATCCGAGAGCTTTCTGACTCTGCATAGACAGCAACACAACTGACACGTTCAAGGCTCAGAAAGGTAGTGAGGACATCGTTAAAATAGGTCATGTGACATCAGATGATGCGGAAAAGAGAAGAAATTGTTGAATAAAGTCATTATTTTAGTTTTCTTTGCTCACAAAATGTATTCTCGTAGCTTCATAAAATTAAGGTTGAACCACTGATGTCACATGGACTATTTTAACGATGTCCTTGCTACCTTTCTGGACCTTGAACGTGTCAGTTGCTTTGCTGTCTATGCAGGGTCAGGAAGCTCTTGGATTTCATCAAAAATATGTTCATTTGTGTTCAAAGACAATCGAAGGTTTTACGAGTTCATAATGACATGAGGGTGAGTAATGACAGAATTTGCATTTTTGGGTGAACTATCCCTTTAAACTGTGACTCATCAAGAGCTAGCTAGTCAAATGGTTTTGAATTTTGTTCTATAATTTCTCAAAAATGACATAAATATGTTCTTTATAAGGAAATAGTGGAATATGGAAGAGTCAAGAGAGCGGCCCGTTTTTTATCAGCCAGTCAGTTTTTCTAGAGGACTGCCTTCAGCTAATGTGTGTCTGCCTCATTTTACTCATATTACTCAAAAGTGATGTGTACAACTTTAATTAGTGAAAAAATGGCAGAGCGAACTTTTAACAACATGACTAAGTCTGGCATAAGTCCGTGAACACGGCTGAAATCGCACACAGCACCTTTAAGAAAATGCTATAAGTGAAACAGGCACACGGCATGATCCTCTCGCGCCCACCACATTCTCCCCACGCACGCATCACACTCCTCCACAGCCCACCGAAAGGGGGCGCCCTCTTCCCTAAAACCAGTTTAGTTCCTGTTCAAATATACATATGTAAAAAAAAAAAACTCCCGGTAAACTGGGGCCATGCTTTGTAGCAACCTCAGACACTCGAAAGACATAATCATAATTAACAGCGGTCTTCGGCGCGGCATCTTTGAGACCCGCGAGACCCGCTCTGTTGGGTGTAATAATCGGTCGTGTCGCGCGCTATTTTTAGAACCCACGGCCGTGGTCACGTGACCGTCGAGAGCACGTCATTAATGTTGTTGTTGGTGGAGGAGCTGCAAATATGGAGGAAAGAGAGTTGAGGCAGGAAAATGTGTACTTTTCATGAACGGAGGAGGAAAATAGCTTTGTAAAAGTGATAAAGTGGTAGACAGGCGCTGAAATAAAACGGGCCGTGACGGCGCGTCGGAACGACAGCAAGTAACGTTATCAGGTAAAGTAGAAAGAAACATTTACATCGTCTGATAGTGATGGCTTATGTTCTGTCTTTTCCCTCCTGGGCTTGACACCCACCGACAGGCAGCGGTCTCACCCGCAGGGAAACACGCTAGGTTGACAGCGGATTGATTTTGTAGTGCATTTAGACAGCTTTGCACCTTTTGCACACTGGCAGTTTCGCAGCCTGGACAGGCTTAAACAAACATCAAGAGTTTGTCAGATTTAGTCCGAGTTCCTGGCGTTAGTGCAGAACTATCGCCATTTCTTTACCCGTGGGAGTCGCCTGACGGGATGAGTTTAATATTTTCATGACCGTCAGCCTCCCAGGATCTTATCTGAGCGTTTTGGACAGTCAGTTGAAGGTTGCTCGGGTTGAACTCCAGTATAGCGCAGATGTTGTTTCTGGAGCTGGAGGAGAAGAAGCGATTATATCATATTCATCATGATCTTCTGTCATTGCGCGACTGAAAATGAAAAAGAATGAGAATATCGCGCGAGTGAGATTGTCATTTTGTTTTACAGCCAGGCTATGGTCACTTACAGTGCTCAGAAAATAAATGAAAGGTGTCTGAAGGGCCAAATTTTCTTATCAGGCCGATACCGATAACAGAAAAAATGAGCCGATATGGGCCGATACCGATATGGTGGCCGATATATCGTGCATCCCTAATTTTATTCAGCGATTCATGTATATCTTTGTGTGTCTTGGTTGCAGCATACCTTCTAGATGATGATTGTAGGTAAAATGCTGAATTCTTTCTCTGACAAAACTTTAACTTAAGTATTTTTTTATGGGAGAGAACATTATGTACTTTGGTACAAGAGGTTGCTTTATTAAAATGAATTAGTCTCTATCTATCTATCTATCTGGATGCAGTAATATTTCCAATGATTATCATTTGGTTCAAGTCAAGGCTGTCTGCTGTTCAGCATTTTCACCTCTCTTGTCAAGTGGGTTGACTGAGGACTTGAAGTAATCAAATCATTTCTCAGTTTTTTCTCCCGATTAACTCGTCAAATTGAGTCATGACTTCAGCAGTCCCAGCAATAGGCTGGTGTATCACTCATGCACCAAGATTGACATTTTTCTCTCGGCTGAAGCAGGATGTGGCTCATTCGTCAAGATTTGTGTGAATGGAAGGTGATGCTGTTGGAGCATTATTATGTTGTGAGTTTGGGTGTAACAAATAACACTTCATTGTAGGTTAGTTTTGCCAGGTCAGGTTCAATTATGCAACAGTAATTGGGCTAGTTGAACGGCATCAACAAATACTTTTGGTGGCACTTTATTGTGGTGCGTCTGAATTCGGAAGATCTCAAGTAGTGACTTTTTTTAAACATGCATTTAAAAGATTATTGACTTAATGGGTGGTTTAGAACATTGTTTCCAAACCTCGCGGCACCCTTTGGAAATTTTAACAAACTTGTGGCACCCTACAAAATTAATTTTGTCACAATATTTGAATTTCTAACTTCGATATGATAATTTGAAAAGTATAGATATTCGGTACAACAGGGAAGAACTGCAGAATATAATGTCATTCAGATATTTTTAATATTATTAAAAAAAGTTGTCCATCAATGGTGATAATCAGTAGGCTAATTTCTAATGAAGAGACCAATTTATATGACAGATTTTAATGTAGGCTTTTATACATATGTAAACATTATTTAATTACCATTATAACTAGCTATCTCACAAATTTTTGCTCACTCAGTGTTTTTTTTATGTTACAGTGGGGTAATTTTGGTGCAGTAGCACGAGATAGCTTGATTTCAAACTTTGAATTTAATAAAAAATGACAAGTAAGCAGTCAGTAATAAAATAAGAACAAATAAAGAAATTAATAATGATAGCACAAATAAAAAATAACGACAGGCCTTCGAATTAAATAAATAGCTTTTTAGTTTTTCAGGTAGGTCTAACAGTAGGATAAAGATATTTAACTTTTTTTTTTTACCAATTATCCAAATAATGTTTAGTCCTAGAAAGCTATTATTATCAGAGGACGCGCGAGCATAACATAGCGGTTAGCAGCAGATCAATGAATGAGAGGGCAGCGTTACCAGAGTTGCCAATATACCACACCATGTTACAACACAGTAGGGCTATTGCAGACAGAAACAATACTGTACTACATCGATGTTTCCTGTCGGCTCGATTTTTGAGTGGACTTTGCTGTTCCGATGAGCATGAACGGTATACGAGTGGAGCGACTGAGCAGAGCGCACACGCATAGAGCGGGATAATACACAGAACGTCACACCACGTGAAAGTGAAACCTGAGCGGTGAACTAATTTTCGGCAGCCGAAATGTCGGTGCATCTCTAATTATTGGCGACATCAGAAATGGATATTATATAATAGATGCTCTTTTGAACATTTTAGCAATTTAAAAATATTTAAAAAGGATTTTTTACATGGCACCCTGGTTGGGAAACACTGGTTTAGAACAACCATTAAAGTAGCTTAAAAAGCTGTGTTTGCTCTAGGATGTGAGAGGGGTCGGCTGATAGTGGAAATGACAGTGCTCAAGGATACAAGCGCAATCTGCCTTAGTCACGTTTACCAGTGAGTTGACGCCATTAGTTATTTCCAGGAAACTACACCCTCTTCACTGCTTATGGATCTATGGAGGACCACCATCTGTTGTTAACCAAAAAAAAAAGTGTTCTTTAAAAATCTGGTTTTAGTATTGGCGAAGCAATAGGTCTAGGGATTGGTACACTGATGGGCCTGTTTAGATTTTGAAAATTATGAAATGGTTATATCCTCAGGATTGATTTGTTATGCAAATCAGCTGGATTTCATATTTGACTCTTGGACTGTGATTCTTTATTTTGGATGTAAACCTAAGATGTGGATATTCGAGGAATAGTTCACCCAAAAATGAAAATTTGCTGAAAATGTACTCACCCTCAGGCCATCCAAGATATAGATTGAGAGTTTGTTTTTCATCTAAACAGATTTGGAGAAATTTAGCATCGCATTAGTTGCTTCTATCTAATCCGATCCAGATTAGCTTGAATCTGTACTATCAAAGCAAAGGTAATGTGATTAAGACAATACAAGGACATTCTTTACTTTAGAAACCACTTTCTACTCCATTTCTTCTCTCCTCACAGACTACAGTGAAAGTTCACTTAAAATGTATTCATCCTCAGAGCATCTAAGATTTAGATGAGTTTGTTTCTACATCTGAACAGATTCTGAGGAATTTAGCATTATTTCACTTGCTCACCAATGGATCCTCTGCAGTGAATGGGTGCCGTCAGAATGAGAGTCCAAACAGCTGATAAAAACATAACTATAATCCACAAGTAATGCAAGTAATCCACAAGCTGTATGTTTGTTATAAACAAATCCATCAAGACGTTTTTAACTTTAATCTGTTGCTTTTAGGCTAAAATACAATTCCTATATCCATTATAACGCTTCATCCAAAACAGATATGTCAGTGGATTTTGATGTGATAGATGTGTGACAACAAGGGATTGACTTTTTCACTGGATGAAGCGTTATTTTGGATTGTGGACTCATATTTTGGCCAGAATCAATAGATGGATTTATATTTTTTACAAACACGCCACTTTTCACTTCTGAAGATGTTCATTGATGGACTAGAGTGGCGTGGGTTACTTGTGGATTTTTGTGATGTTTTTATCAGCTGTTTGGACTCTCATTATGGCACCCATTTTGGTACACTGATGGGCCTGTTTAGATTTTGAAAATTATGAAATGGTTATATCCTCAGGATTGATTTGTTATGCAAATCAGCTGGATTTCATATTTGACTCTTGGACTGTGATTCTTTATTTTGGATGTAAACCTAAGATGTGGATATTCGAGGAATAGTTCACCCAAAAATGAAAATTTGCTGAAAATGTACTCACCCTCAGGCCATCCAAGATATAGATTGAGAGTTTGTTTTTCATCTAAACAGATTTGGAGAAATTTAGCATCGCATTAGTTGCTTCTATCTAATCCGATCCAGATTAGCTTGAATCTGTACTATCAAAGCAAAGGTAATGTGATTAAGACAATACAAGGACATTCTTTACTTTAGAAACCACTTTCTACTCCATTTCTTCTCTCCTCACAGACTACAGTGAAAGTTCACTTAAAATGTATTCATCCTCAGAGCATCTAAGATTTAGATGAGTTTGTTTCTACATCTGAACAGATTCTGAGGAATTTAGCATTATTTCACTTGCTCACCAATGGATCCTCTGCAGTGAATGGGTGCCGTCAGAATGAGAGTCCAAACAGCTGATAAAAACATAACTATAATCCACAAGTAATGCAAGTAATCCACAAGCTGTATGTTTGTTATAAACAAATCCATCAAGACGTTTTTAACTTTAATCTGTTGCTTTTAGGCTAAAATACAATTCCTATATCCATTATAACGCTTCATCCAAAACAGATATGTCAGTGGATTTTGATGTGATAGATGTGTGACAACAAGGGATTGACTTTTTCACTGGATGAAGCGTTATTTTGGATTGTGGACTCATATTTTGGCCAGAATCAATAGATGGATTTATATTTTTTACAAACACGCCACTTTTCACTTCTGAAGATGTTCATTGATGGACTAGAGTGGCGTGGGTTACTTGTGGATTTTTGTGATGTTTTTATCAGCTGTTTGGACTCTCATTATGGCACCCATTCACTGCAGAGGATCCATTGGTGAGCAAGTGATATAATGCTGAATTCCTCAGAATCTCTTCAGATGTAGAAACAACCTCATCTAAATCTTAGATGGTCTGAGGATGAATACATTTTTAGCAAATTTTCACTGTATTCAAGACACAGTGGTACTCTGTGAGGAGAGAAGAAATGGAGAACAGGGTGGTTTCTGAAGTAAAGAATGTCCTTGTATTGGCTTAATCACACCTTTGCTTTGATAGTACAGATTCAAGTTAATGTGGATCGAATTAGATAGAAGCAAGAAAATTCACATTGTCCCGACCAACTAATGTGATTAGGCAGTCGATAAATATTTGCACTAGGCGACCGCAGTTGCATTAAGAAGTTGCATAACTGTGATATTTTGGAAGTTTGATTCAGTTGTATTGGCTCTT